TACTAGGTTTGAGCTCGACTTATTTAACAATCGAACTACTGAATTGGGTTTAAGCTCGGCTCATTGCCACCCCTAGCCATGAATGACAAACAACAAAAAAGTACATCCCAGCATGGCATCGGTTCCATTTTACATCATTCATTGGTCCAGAGCATCAGTTATTAACGGTGTAAATATGCATTTATACCTCAAACAAATGCAGCCTTAGGAAAAGGGGGTCAAAGAGAAAGTTATTAATGGTGCATAACACCGAATACCAAAAAAAATATATCTAACCAATCAAGAATAGACAAGCCATTGATTCACAAGCTTGGATCTGCTACCCATACGCACCCGTGGAAACATCTCCCCATTAATGAGTAATGACCTTATAGGTTGCAGATCTGGACTGGACTCATCATCAATATAAAGTAGGGTGTGGTCAAATGTACAGATCACTGGCTTATTCACTCTTGATGTGGTACAATAGTACCAATCCGGAATTTCTACTAATTCAATTATGTTTCTACTAACCCAATAAAAGAAAGCCACTTGTCTCTAAACATGTTTTAAAATCCTAATTTATGCAAATAGTTAACAGTTGTTATTGCTCTACCCTTAGGCATCTTTTCCTAAAAAATGTTTTTTTTTTTTTTTTGTGCACGATTTCTTTGTAATTCCTCTCACCCTCTCCTTTCTGGTGTTTCTGGAATTTGTTATATTCACCTGACAGTAAATTCTTGTCACCTAATATCATAAATTTTCTCACTGCAATCTCAAATGTCCTTAGACGAACCTCTCAAAACCCTTCAAATATAAGTCAATCTCTTATTCAAGATGTATGGAAATCCAAGTTCCAATTTATGTTGAATTCGCATCAATCTTGTTAACTTGTTTTGAATATGTTAAAAAAGGTAGGCATCCCCTTATTTTTCCTGCTTTTACTTCCATTTTCATCCTCTTTACTTTTGCAACTCAATCGAGTATTAGACACTACTGCTCTGTTTTTCTGCAATTGAAACAAGGCAACTGATTCCAAGCCTAAAATCCAAACCATAACAGTTATATTAGAGAAGAAAAAAAAAATAGGCCTAACCCACCATGGATCAGTTCCTCTAGCCCGGGACGGCCCGGCCTAACACGACTGGAAACTCAGCCACGGTCCATGCCAAGCCTGACCTGGGAAGAAGATCGGGCTGCCCAAGCACAGCCTGCTGAGGCCTGAGGCCCGACACGGCATAATACGGATGGTGTCGGGGCCACCTTCAATCCGTGCCATTCCGGCAGGGCACGACGACCCACAGATTACAGGTATAGTTTCAATCCATTGTAAAATTTCTATTAATAATTGTATTCTTTATTGCGGAGTTGAATCTGCTACGCTTCCATTCAGTCCAGGGAAGGTGTCCCATCATTTTTTTTGTTCTTACACGTGTAGGAATACAAGACTGGATGAATGTTTAAGTCCGTACTCTTTTATTGCAATCAAAATGGGTGTTTTAAGTATTGGGATTGGGGTCGAACCTATCAATGCACCTCCTATATGCACATGTGCAAATAAAAATGGGCAAAGTATATAACACGTGTAGGCTTAATTAGATGGTTGAATTTGGACTGAAGCAAAACTATAGAATTTTGGGGTAGGATTGCAAATGGATCAGATCAAACTGGACATAGGATTGCAATCAGATATTTTACTAATAAATATAATATAAGTTTGAGTATATATAAAGTTCAAAATATCAATACTTTCTACTGAAAATCTTTCTGTTTTTACTTTTTTTATTTGGTCACAATTTATTAGCATTTAAAACTAATAAAATCACCTAACTCTTATAATTTAGATTATCAGTGACTCTGAAAAAAGGATGAGTATCAATACTTTGAAGGGAAAAAAAGGCATGATAGTAAAAGGGCTTTGATCAATTAACACACAATCAGAATTAGGTCGACATTTTTTTGGTAACGTAGAGAGATCAAATTTGAATCACCTTTAACCGGATAGGATTGAGAAAGTTCGTATTTGAATTTGATCTAATGGGTTCCATTTTCTGCCCTAAATTGGGACCATGATCTTGTGAAAGAATTAAAACTAGAGTTTTATATTTGAAAAGATACCAAACAACCAAATGAAAGTCCAAGGTAATTGGGACCATGATCTTATAATAGACAGCATGTTGAACATTGGAGTCACTATTATTTGTCCCGCATGTAGACCTGACAAAAAATTGACTCAACATGCGAAGTTGATCCAACCCAATCCGAAAAAATAGGATTAGGGTCTCAAATTTAGCTACATGAATTTGAGAATGACCCGACCTGATCGAATACGGAAAAAACTAGGTGGAGTTGGGTCATGGGTCAACACGCTGACCTGATTATCAGGTTTAATTGGGATTATTTATGTAGTTGTTAGAAATTTTCATTCTTTAATCTTTACATTTTTTCTTTACTCTTTAAATTGTTAAATGTTCAAATTTTTTTATTTTATTTTTGGAATTTTAAGATCATTTTCTTTAATTTTGGTATTTTCATATATTTTTTTTAATTTCAATTATTTTTTCGGGTGACATGTGAATCAACCCTAACCCGAACATCTAAAGTTAGGGTCTACCATTTGCCAATCCAAACATCTTGGCCCAACCTAAGCCTGACCCACCCAAGCAAATTGCCAAGTCCCCCCGTACATTTGAAAATATCTCTCTGCACAAGTCATGAGCACAAGTAAGAGCATTAAATTAATTCCAAAGGAGAAGAAATAACTATAGTAAGCAACATCATTTTCAAAACTTGCTTCTCCAAAGTCCAAACCAATACAAGTTGGGTGTTGGGAGTTAAGCAGTAGGTCAGAGCCCAGATGGGTTACGGAACCCATCAAGAGTCAACACACTACTATGTTCCGTATGCATAAGGTATGGTCCCCTGCTGTGACTGTGGGCTTCATACACTGAACGTTTGTGTGTAGCCCATCCAGTTCCAGCTGTAGGTTTTAAGAGGATCCATCGTAACACAAATAAACAGTATTGAACATATAGATAGTACAAGGGAATTAACGGGAGACAGAGTGCATGAAAAAGAAGCCCCATGGATCATACTCATGAGCAATATACATGATCAAACGAACGTTATTCATTTCCAGCTGCTTCTCTCTTGCCAAAGAACATTCCATCACTTTTTGTTTGCAATTCAGCTGTGTAGTCACGTTGCTCACCCGAAGAATATATTTGATGATGGATCTGGGTGCTAAGTCGGGTACCCGATTTTCATGCCGGGCCAACCCTCGGCCCATCCAAATTTTAGCAAAACCTGAACCCTAGCCCGGCCAGGTTGCAAATTTTTCATTTGCTTTTAAGGGATTTTAATTGGCCTCATATACACAATAATGGGGATCTAAAAGTTCTTTTCTCTTTTAGCGTATACAACGGGGTAGCCCATCCCCTAACTCAAGTGCACACGGGATTAGATCCCAAACCTCCGCTACAATTAATAAGAGACCTTACCAACCAGCCAGTTCGCACCTTGTAAAGTTGAGGTTAATAATAGATCGACATCCAATTATGATGAACATGGACTTCTTTAAGAGAAATGATGAACGGTTTCATGAGGTTTGATATTAGTTGTTATTGTTGTAAAAGTAGAAGAGTGGAGAATGGAACTTATCAGTTTGACATTGGCTAAACCACCATATGATATAAAACAGATAAAGGGAGAACGACGGTTCAGCCCAGGGTCAGAATTTATAGACATAAAGTACTGTTGGGGTAGGTATCAGCTCAGAATTGATGCCAATTCATAAACGGGCATTGATGCATAGAATGTGGATTATTATCATTCTGAATGTTTATAGCTCTACAGTGAAAAACAGAAATCTGCATTGGATCTGTTCGTATTTCTCCGTAAAACAAAATACACAGAGGACATAGCCCACCTTGCCCCGTATCCAAATACAAATCTCTCCCTTACAAACTCAACCCAATCTATTACAACTCAAACAATCTTGATGCGAATCCAGGGAATGCCCACTTTATTTATCATCTCTCAACCTGACTTGGATTTAGTTAACTGATTTATTTTTCTATTTATGATATATATTTTTGTTGCCTATATAACTTTATAAATTCATAATAACTTTATAGAAATATACTAATTTAACAAATGGAATTCAATAACTCTATATGTTTTACATGTCCACGGATAAAATTCAATCTCTCAAGTTCTTGTCAAATACAGTTCAGAAATACACCTATCAAAATTTGGTCTGATATCCTTTTACAGCCCCAGTTAGGAATCTATGTTGTTTGTATTAAGTTGGGAATTTTTTTTTTTAATAAAGAGAAGTCATACTATTAACAAACACATGGTTAACAGACAGCTCAGTGTAAACCTGTATTTTGTATAAATATTATGGCCTGTATTTTGGAAGGAGTATAAATATAAATATGTAGTGTGCAAAACCCTGTATTTTGTACTTGTATATTTTGTATCATATTATATGTATTTATATTACTGTATATATTCGTATTTGTACTCCTTCCAACCTGAGCCTCAGGTTATATTTGGTTGGTTTGCACTAATGCAAAACAATGATAGTCACATGATTTGGGTACAAATTCTGATTTATTTTTATTTTGAAGTTTACCTTATTTTTATTTTTATCAACAGAAAAAAGTCAGATCCAAAACAAAATTAAACAAAAATTTGCATCATTTTCATTTGCACTCCCTTGCATTTGTAATAATGCAAACAAAATTGCACTGCAACCAAATGCAGCTAGGCACAAATTAAAGAACACTAGTATTAAAATTCTTAGAATTCAAGTTTTAAATTATTTACACATTACTTAATATTATGGCCTCAACCTAACCTAATCCGGATTTTTGGAGTCAGGTTGGACTAGCCTGCTGGCCCAAGTTTTGCAGCATAAAACAAGCCCCCATTTGATGAATATAGCTTTCAAGATTGGTCGCATCAGTCTCTTAAGGTGGCAGAAATAAGTAGATAGTTATGTTGGAACACTCAAGTGAAAGTGGTAAGCAGTACTGTATCAGCATTTATTGGAAAAAACCTAAAAGCTAATTAATATTACTCCCATGGGTAAAGCCAGCAGAGCAACTGGTAGTGGTTTTACAAGGCTTTCACAGTGGATATCAATCAGCATGAGTACTGAAGATGGGATTCATACATGATACATGCTTCCTTATTCATATTTATCAAACTTTCTCACACAAACACTAACATAGAACGGAGTGCTGAGTGTTGAGTGTTGAGACACCACTCCAAAGTCCAATCCAATGCGCGCGACACTTTAGTTTTGAGGCTTGGCTTCAGTCTCAGCGTCAGGCGCCTCGCCGAGGTAGGAGCAGCAACGTCGGCAGCCACCTCCATGGTACCCCCCGCCACCACAACAACCGTATCGGCAGTGGCCTCCTCCGTAACCACCGCGACCGGGGTATCCACCATTTCCTCCATGTCCAGGGTATCCACCATATCCTCCACCTCCAGGGTACCCTCCACCAGGGTATCCGCCATACTTGGCTTCACCAACTCCTCCGTTTGTCCCCGTTGCCTTCTCTGAGCGTACACAAAGATCAAGGAGAATTTTACAAAGTTAGAAGAAATTTATATTTTATGCTTAATTAGCTTAGCAGATCGAACAACGGCCACACCCATGAACATGAACATTGAACAACGTATAAAATGAAAAAACAAAGAAAGAAGCGAGAACTTAAACATACGTGTTTTTTCTTCTTTCGTGGTTTCAGACGCTGCCACCTCCCAGGAGATGACAAGAACAACTACCAGGCCCAAAAGTAAAACAACCTTGGAACTCATTTTCGCTCAACAGGAAGGAAGAAAAGAAAGAAACTATTTCAACAAGGATGAGGAAACTTGTTTCATATCTGATGCCAATTTATAGATCCCCAGAGGCTCAGTAACCATTAATGTATATATGACCCGGCGCCCTCGGTTTAGTTGGCTGTTGGCTCTTGAGTTTGTTCCATCTTATCTTTCTATTGACTTGTGAAAATGCAGTGCAGTCATACCCATACCCATGTCGGTAGACCTTGCTAATTACTATAGTAGAAAGTGGTGGATATTCAGATTCTCTGAATATGGGGGAACATGTCAAGTTACAAAGCCCTGGCGGACAAGCTTTACCCTTTGATCATCAATCAGCCTCTCTCTCTCTCTCTCATTAATGGACTAAAGACACTGAAGGGGGATTGATAACTTAGATATGGCTGAAGTTCATTGACCCCACTCCTCAACCCAAATGACAGGTAAGATGGAACTATGGGGAAAGCATGTGAACTGCATTGAATTGCCTTATCTGCCACATGGCAGAGCCGTGTAGCAGAATATGAAAAAGATGTTTTATACGACACAGAAAGCTGAATTATGAAACTGCTTTGCTCAGAGTGATTCAACTAAGAACAAAGAAGGTAATTAATAGTACCGGAGGGGCTAAAATGAAAAGAGAAACAAATTGTCAGTAAATAGCTATTGGAATCCGATGTATATGGTTCCCTTCACTGAACAACTCAACAAGCTAGCTAGATGTTTCTCACCTACATTCATTGAAGTAAAGTCGTTACAGAAGCATTTGTTAGGTTGCTCAAGTTTTCTACTATCATATTATATTTACATGCATTGTAAACTAGTTCATGAGCAACTCTATTCATATCTTTATTTATATGGGATACACAAACTATATCAAAAAAAGATAGAAGGCCTTCTGAGTCAGAAAAACAGACTAATTTCTTGAGTTTTAGGTAGTGGGCATATAGGAGTCCATGTAGGAGGGCTCACCTATTCTTATGGTTTAACCAATTGATTAAGTGTATTTTTATTATTTAAAAGATGACTAACGTTATCTTTATTGTTTTGAATAATTGACTAATATTTTGTTTACCGTTACAAACCATTTAAATGTGTATAACATCACTGTTATAACTTTCAAAAATACTCAACTTACCCTTATTATAACTTCCAGCACCGGCACCGGTTCTGACTGAATATCTCATTGTCCCCTCTAACACCGGCTCTGACACACCAGCACTGACATCTCCGGCACCGGCTCTTAATTGCCTCTCTCCTATTTGAATTATTAAAAATTATAATGAAATTTAATATAGATCCAACGGTTCTAATCATCCCATCACATACATCTCCCGATCCACGAGATGTCCCAAGTCTCAACTCAAAGCTTAACATCTAATCTTAATATTAATTGACTTCACCTTAGGTTAGTTGTGCTGAGTGCTGAGATGACACAATAGGAGTAGTGGGGCTTCATGACACAATAGGAGTAGTGGGGCTGAAGCCCGAAGCTCGAACATCGGCCTGCACCTTCACTATTGATGTGCAGTAAAAAAGGCATATGCTTTCGAACACAATAGGAGTACTTTATAAAAGTATATTAGTAAAAAAGAAGTAAATTTGCACTTAAGTGGGCTTTTGATAAAGAAAATAAAAAAGACATCTTTTATTGGAATTTATTTTTGCATCCATTACAGCTAAAAATTTATTTGATAAAAAGGTAAATTTGTCATTGCAAAACTAACTCAATTTTACAATTTTTATAAATCATTTTACACTATATATTTGCATCATTGCCAAACACAGCCTTGTAATTTATAAAGAAAAACAAAAAATCCAAACACATTCTTAACTATATATATATCATATTCTTTGAAATTGAATAGGAGAAACCCAAATTCTATCCAATTTTTACCCAGATCTTATCGAATCTGACAAAATAGGACATGACTCAAATTCAAACAGGATAATGATCTGATTCTTTTGCAGGTTTTAATATTTATTAATTAAAAACCATGGGAGAGATTGCTTTTTTTCCTATTACTACACATTATTGGGGAATCGGGGTGGGGCAAAGAAGGGTGTACCTCAGATTGGCTTGAATTAGCATTTTACACTGCTTTGAATCAGGTGTTGGATTACTAGACAACTTTGCACACTGATTGTGTTCTTAGTCTGCGTGTTCACCGGATGTGCCTATCAGATGTAGATCAGTTTCATTGGCTTGATTATGTAAATTTGGCTAGTTTGGATAAATTGGGTTACTTAGAGCACATGCTTAGCATGGCCAACCCTGACACTAAATTAAGGTAGACCAAACATTAATATTGCCCACCCAACTTTATTTCATCTAACTGTGAGGTCGCAGCAAATCCCCGACTACTGCGTTTATTGCTACATTAAATTTTAGAGATCAAGGATTGAAGTTGAAAAACAAGGAGTTGAAGCTTGAGACTTGAGTCACCAACTGGTTGTGGGCCGTCTGGCTCAGTGTTGATATGTTATCTAGCTGTAGTGTAGGTGTACAATTCGGGTTGGTTCGAGTCAGTATTTTGTACTCTTTTGGGCTTCGGTTTTGGACTGGTTCCATTCAAAATTTGCCCATCCCTATCTAGCTGGTTGTAGGGGAGACTTGGGATTTAACCCAACATAACTTGGTCTGGGCTCATATTTGGGTTAGGTCCGATCAAGGTTATGTGGGCTTGGTTGGTCGGGTTTGAAAGAATTTATGAATATATTATTGTATAGCCATCTTTTATTAGACTTTATCGCTTAATTATTTAGGAATAGAGTTGATTTAAAATGCATATAAATTTTATTTATAAATGTGCATTGATGTATCGATTTTTAGTGATGTACCGATTTTTTGACTAAGAACCTCGTCATTTGGTCTGCTTCCAAGTGGTCGATGACTCAGGCTGAAGTAGAGAACTTTGGCTACCGAGCTAAATCGAGCTGAGCAGGCTAGGTGGCGAGCCAACTATAGTGTCGAGCTGCCTATGAGGTGCCGAGATGACCAGGTGGCGAGCTGCCTGTGAGGTGCCGAGCTGACCAGGTGCCGAGCTACCTATGAGGTGTCGGGCTACCTGTGAGATGTCGGGTTGCTTGTGAGGTGACGGGTTGACCAGGTACCGAGCTGCCTGTGAGGTGGCGGGCTTCCTGTGAGGTGCCGAGCTACCTATGAGGAGCCAAGCTACCTGTGAGGTGTCGGGCTGACCAAGTGTCGAGCTGCCCGTGAGGTGCTGGGCTGACCAGGTGCCGAGCTGCCTGTGAAGTGTTGAGCTGCCTAGGTGTCGAGCTGCCTGTGAGGTGCTGGGTTGACCAGGTGCCAAGTTGCCTGGTGGCGAGCTGAATTGATGAGCTTCGTTGCTCTTTAGAGACCTGCAAGGAACCAAATGTCAGAAGACCCAGGGTGGCTAACCCGGCGAGGTCGCTCCGATGCTTAAGTCAGTACTCTCATATTAGACCGCAAGCTAAAAATCACAAAGTCTTGGGGATAGAACTTGCTTATTTGGTTGTTTTCTTGCTTGCCATTGGGGTTGGTGCCTTTATATAGGCATTGTTTGGCAGGGGCTTCACGCACCATATCCAAGATTTCTGCGAGGTCGTCTAAGTGGTTCGAGATTCCTAGAGGTAACTGCTATGCACGTTGACCACCCTCCGGATCATTCGGCATGTGGGCCAACTTCCAAGGATTGTGGGAGTGTTAGGATATACATGTTGAATTTGTTGGTGAGCACGTCTCACAGGCCGCCAAGTCGGCGCCTATGCCAGGCTGCCAGGTTGCGCCTGTACTAGGTCGCGCCTGTGTCGGGTCGCATCTGTGGTGGGACACCATCAACTTGGCTAAGGGAAGTTGTTGCCTAAGTGGTTCCAGGTGTCACCTAGTTGTTCCGAGGTGCCATGTGTCACAATATCATTGGAGGGCCAAATCCGCCCTCATCATTTGCCCCCCACTCCCGAGCTGAAAGTAACTCGGCGAATGGAGTATATTTCTCCTTTTGGCCCAGAATGAATAATTCGATAAGATCGTAAGCGTCGATTCAATTCCTTAGGCTCTCGGAGCGACTCGCAATCCGCTCCTTGATTTTGCCCATGTCGAAGAGGCAACTGGGTCTTATATGGTGAGGAGGTCTTCACTAGTTCGGTATTTCTCCCCTTAGGCTCTAGGAGCGACTCATAGTCCACTCTCCTTGATCTTTGATTTTGCCCATGCCGAAGAGGTCATTGGGACTTGTCTACCCTTGCCGAAGAGGCGATTGGGACTTATCGTAGTGTCGAAGTCTTTTATCAGTTCGCCAGTTCGTGCCTGGGCCAAGCCGTCAGGTCGGCGCCCGTGCCAGGCCGCCAGGTCGGCGCTAGGGTCAGGCCGTCAGGTCGCTAGTGCCATGCTACCAGCTCGCACCTGTGCCAGGCCGCACCAAGGCCAAGCCGCCAGGTTGTGCCTGTGCCAGGCTGCCAACTCGCTCCTCTACCAGGGCCAGGGCCAGAACGCCAGATTGCGCCAGGGCCAAGGCCAGGCCGCCAGATCGCGCCTGGGCCACGGCTGTGCTGCATCAGCCTCGTTAGTGATGTTGGTTACCCACTCCTACAAGAAGCTACTAGGAGCTCGACCTACGGGGGCAGCACTACTAACTTTAGGTCACCAGCTCACACAGGAGCCTTGGAAGGCTCGACCGGCAGGGGCGTCCATGCAATCTGTTGGCCACCGACTCCCACAGAAGCCACGAAAAGCTCATCTTTGTAGAGGGTACCTTGCGAAGAGGACTGATGAGGCTTTGTCCGTGTTGAAATAAAGTTGGTAGAGCTGCTTAGTCTGTTGGCCATCAACTTCCTGCATAGTCTTTGAGTTCATAAAAAATGGAAACTAGAAAGTGAGAGCTTTTAGTAGAATTTAGCTTTCTGGAAGAAGAGGACTTAGCCTTTCGGAGGATGAGAACTCAGCTTTTTGTAGCGTTTCCCACAGACGGCGCCAATTGATGTATCAATTTTTAGTGATGTATCGATTTTTTGGCTAAGTACCTCGTCATTTGGTCTGCTTCAAAGTGGTCGATGACTTAGGCCGAAGTAGAGAACTTT